ACAAAAAAGTGATGGTGCTGCCAATAAATTAATTGCAATAGCAAGTTTATCCCATGAACGCGTGAAATAAGCTACCAATGAAAGTACTAAAAAGTTAGGTGACCACGTGACAAATGTATTTACTTTAATTCGAGCATTTGTTGGAATATTCTCGATCACGTACACGTACATTACGCTGTAATCTTCAATAACATTACTTGTCATTTGGACACATGATAGTATGATCATATGATCAATTGATAGAAAATTTTCTAGCTCTAATTATTGTAATCCGGAAAATATTATTTTTGACTCCGATATGATTTCCGATATGGAATATGCTTGGTGTTTCTTGAAATTATGTAATTGTTTGCATTGCTAAATTGATATCAAAATTTGTTTATTATCGAGTTTGTTACTTATTAAATTAATTTGTTTCCAAGTTGCTAAGTAATAAATGAAAATAATTATCTATGATATTTGTAATAATTATCTTGTATTTTCTTATAAATACATTCAATAGAATTGTAATTTTAAGCATGATGGTTTAACTTTCAGTAAATTGCACTCTTTAAATAATTTAAAGTTTTAAAAAGATATTAAAAGTAACATTGAATTGCCGCCAACAAAAAAGCCAACAAAAGTACGAATGATTGCAAACATGGAAAGATTGAGTGCAAATGCTGAGAGTATACCGGATAAAACTGTCATTGTTAGACATATGATCATTGTCTAAAAGAGCAGTTAGAATAATTGGAAAATTATCAACAATTTAAATGAATGGAATAAATTAGACAACAAATTATCTTAATCTTTGCATTTTAGATATTAATTATGAAATAATGTTGTTTTCACGTTTTTTTCCTTCTACCTTTTTTTCACTCTCTCATAAATTAATGTTACATTTTTTAGCAGCGAGAAAGTTTGCCAAAAAAATGGAGAAAAATGATAAAATTACAAAAAGAATATTAAAATAAAGAAAAAGAAATGATAATATCGTTATCAATATACATGTAACTGTATTACTAATTCGATTTATTAATTTATAACTGATTCGATCGTTTTATTTTTAACTTAAAATCCATTTATTGATTTTTGTTGTAAATCGATTGTTGTTTTTTGTACAATTTATTAAGTGCAAAATTTTCATACTTTTCGACGTCCGAACAAATCGGAAATTTGTCCAAATAAAATACCACCAAGTATATTACCAAACATTTGAAATGATACCAAATTTTTCACTTTTACTGTTTCACTGCAGAAATATCCCCACTGTAATGAAAAAAGAAGAAATGAATTTGATTATTTCAAAATTTGAGATTTTTCGTAAATTTTCAAACATTTGTTTCAAATAAAAGCTTGAATTCTATTTTAATGAAATTTTTATTATTAATACTTATTTTCAGGATGAAAGAAACATTTTTAAATGTCTATAATTGTTTAGATTTTAAATGAAACTTCTGTAATAATTAAATGGGAACATACTTCAACACCAACAGATCGAAATTGATACTTAAGAATCGGTTGACAAGAATGATTTCCAAATTTTATTATAGTTTCGTATTGTTCACATGCTTCGCGCTGTCCCAAACTTTTATTAAAAATTGTCATACCACATCCGATAATATCGGGAGATGCTGCTACAAAATAAAAGTTATTGTTTAAAATTCAAATTTGACATTTCGCAATCTTTTTTATTTAAACCTATTTTATCACATTCCATTCAGCACTTCCAAAAAATGTTGCTCACAACATTTTTTCCTTTTTTTCGCTTCAGTTTTCCACCTTTTTTTCTCAAATTTAAAATTTATATTTAGTTGAAAACGTGAAAAAGAAAAAATTAGACTACATTACTCTTTTTTGTATTTTTCAATCTATTTATGTTTTTAACTAAGTGTAAAATTTATATTTCAAAAAAAAAAACATGCAAAATTAAAAACAATGGAAAGGAAGAGAGTATTGTAATTATTTAAATAAAATCTGCTGCATTTTCTTCTTCATATCAAATTTCTCTCAAGTTTTTATTAATAAATTAATGCACAATTTCTTTTAAGTTTGTTAATGATTTTCTTTTTCTTCGTTTCTGCCAAATTATCAATAAAGTTGTAAAAAATGATAGAAGAAAAGACTAACCAGCGAATAACATATAGATAACATTGCCAACCTGTGATAATATAACAAGCTCATAGGTTAAGCATAAAAATATTGTGTAACGATTGAAAGTGATAAAACGATCGATTCCTTCTGATAAATTTGCTTCCTTATCATTATCAATCAGAGACCTTGGCATCCTAAATTCTAATAGTCCATAAATTGAATTCTTTTGCATTGAACATGTAAACGTTTATATTTCGATACTAACGTCTTATCAAGATAGGAAGTAAGATTATGTGTATTTCAGGTAAGTCGAGAAAATACTTTCATATATCAATTTGTTACAGACAATAGAATTTGAAACGAATTATGTGAATTATGCAATCGCATATGTATTGCATGTGATACTGCTATTCTATCATCAAATGTTTAAATAGCACTGATAATCATAAAGAGTTCATTTTAGATTCATCACAATAACTTCAACAATACAGTGATAATTATTAAAATTGAAGTTAATTTTCAAAAATTGATCAATTAAAATCTTTCAAATATCTGCAAATACTTGACGTCATTTGCACATTTTTAGAGAATAAAACGAATTGTAAAATAAATTAAATATCTCTTTAAATGATTGATGCATCCCTTTATCATTTCCATATTTTCCTTTGTATTTTAAAAGCTTCAATATTATCGGTTTAAAATTGCTTATCACTTTTTTGCTTCTTTTTTCTTTGATTGCAACTGTAAAATAGACATATTTCTCGTCATTACTTGGTCTGATATTACTTACTTTTTCTATATTTTTCTTTCAACAAATTAATCATCAATTTAATTTAATGCCTGTCTAAATTTACCCAATTCTTATTAAAATCCTTCTATGAGCTAAAAAAAAACGATCAAATAAAAAAAATTTTGAAATTTTATTCAAAAAAACGAAAAGATAATTTAATTAGTCGCATAATAATTGTTTAAAATATATGTTTTTTTTAAACAAAAAAAGAGAAAAAACCATATGATAGGCATGAAATATCAATATGCAGTGAAATAAGTCAGTTAAATGGAGGAATATTTTAAAGCATACAAAATAATCAATCATTTGCAAGTGAATCGATGTTAGGAACAGGTTTTCTATTATTTTCTGTTGACAGACTGTAATCAAATTACTTTTAGAACTATCATACCATTGAAGTTATCAGTTATCATAGATCGATCTATGAGACCATTCTATGTAAGGTAAAGAGAATGAAAAATTTTTTTAAATGGAAAAAAAAAATATTAATTCGTTCTGCTTTTGCGTCTTTTTCTTCCCTCAAAATATAACTATTATCATCATCATTAAACAAAATTTTACATTATATTGCATTATTAAAAATTTCACACAATACCAGGATAAATTATTTCAGCTATGAATGAATGTGCTTAATTTTGAAAATGCTTTTAGTCTATTTTATTGTAAATTTAGAGAAATAGAAAATGACAATTGTTGACAAAAATTAGATGTAATATTAGAGTAATCCTATTTTAATTTTTTATCTTTTTTACAAATTATTTTTGTTGTACGCGTAATAAAAGATCATATTTTTTTGCTCTCATAAACAATATCTTTGTCACACATTTTTTTTTTTGATTTATTTATATTCAACCATTAAAATTTCAAGAAAAATTTTCAATTCTCTCTTAGAGCAATAAAAAAATTGTTAAATTCGAAGCAGTATCTCAATTCCAGTATCTCTCTGGAAGTAATGTATCGTAAAGGAAATTTTATTCATCTCAATAGCATCTGTTTCAATAATGCAGAAAAAAATTATCATTAGTGATAAATCATATGATAGCTATTGAAATATAAGCAATTTTTAGCTGCATTAAGCATTCTATATCTTACGATTTCTTTTCGTACACTGTACCCTTTCTCGAGTTAAAATTATGTGGAATATCAGGCAATGTTGTATGAATAGCAGGATCGGGAGGGGACGATTTTCATCGAGGTATTGATTTTTTTTTTCTGAATTTTGACTTTTATGGAAATATCGATTTTTTCACAGCTGTTAGTTTATAACGTATTAGCAACTATGATGGATATAACATTTTGATTTCTGAAATGTAATAAAATTCAAATGACATCAACTATTTGCAGCATTTGAAAATTTTGATTGAATAATTTTTACTTCAGCTAAATTAACTTTAATCGTAATGATTATCAATATCACTGTGTTGATTGAATTATTGTGTTGAATCTAATCAATATCACTGTGTTGATTGAATTATTGCGTTGAATCTAAAATGAATGCTTTTATCATTATCAGTGCTATTTATTAAAGAGTAGGAGGATAAAATCCATTCATTAATTTTTGCTTTTTAGATTTTTCGTCTTTCTGTATTTTTTAGTGAACGCGTTGTTGCATATTTGTTGGCGATAATTGCAGTTCTATTTGCTTTGAAGTTGATTTAAAATATTAGTCATGCTTTGTTGTTATTCGTCTTCCTTTTTGATTCTTTCTAAAACCATATTTAATTGTAATGTTATTCTAGAAATATATGCAGATATGATTACAGTGGAAAGACTAAAGAAAGACGATGAAGAATCGGTTACTTCCGAAGTAAACGTGGAAGATGAAGAACATATGTAAGTCTTATCTTTTTATACACAATAGGTGTGGTTCTGATATACCATTCTCTTGTATGTATTTTTTCATTCCTATTGTACTATTTTTTTCACCGTACTCTTTCTATCTTCAACTTCAATATTTCTTATCATTCTTATCAATATCATTCAACTACTTTTTGCTTTGAAATGACTTCGTTTCCATTAACAGAGGAATGATTGGTGTTTCGGCATTAAATAATAAATGTGATATGTTATGAAAGCACCATATTTTCAGCAATCCACGAAATAATTATTCGGAATCGTTTCTAGAAGATGGACATGGAATCATTTTTGGATCGCAGGAACAAAAGTAAATCAATAGATTATTTTATTGCATAAGTAAGCTTCGCTTCTTCTGAGACAATCTGACTTCAGAATATTTAATGCTGTTACTGATTACAGACTTATTTATGATGGTTTATTATTGAAATATCTAAACGGTGAAATTAAATCTCTAAATGAAGTATGTCGGCTTGTAAAGGATCAATTAGGACTTGAAATTTCGGCTCCTACGCTCTCACGACGTTTGAGACATATTGTGAGTTTACGTATTTCATCGCTTTCAAATATTGCAGTTTTGCTGTCGGTTTTTTTTTCGTGCAAATAAACTTTGCTTTACTCATTATTTTTTCAATTTATCACTTGATTTTTATTCAATTATTAACGAAAATCTTTCATCTCCATCAAAATACTTCCTGCGAAGTTGTGTTTTTCTTGCAGAATAGAAATGCGGAATCAAATGATGAACAGGAAAGGAAGTAAGCTTTTTTTAACAGCTTTCAGATTTGTATTGAAAAATTTTTCAAGTTAGTCTAAGCTTACAGTTTTTTAATATACTTGGGAGAAAAAGTTTTATTAAGGAGGAAGATGGGCGTATTGAAAGGTTTCACGATAATGCAGCGTGCTCTGTCGAGTCGTTACAATGCTTCTTTGCTGACAGTAATGGACGATAAGACAAAAGAAATCCGTCAGTATGCATATATGAAAAGTTCTGTAGATGGACGCAAAGAGTATTATCGATGCAACAGATGTCTACGAGCGAAACGAAGAAGTGGACCTGGAGCTCAGGCATCTATAATAGTTTACGATGGTGAAATAATTGGAGATAAACCTCCGGAACATCACACTGATTGTGAACCAGTACCATATGAAGAAATCGCTTCAATAACTAGTCAACGCGAAAGTCGGGCATACGAAAGGGAAGAGAACGAACAAGTACGTCAAGTATTGAGGAATAGACAGCTACTCTTAAAGCAGGTAATTTTAAAAAAGGAATTTGAAATTTCATTTTTCTTTCTGTTTGTCTTTATGTCGATTTTTTAGGTCTGAAAATGTTTTATTGTTATGAGTTGTGCAGTTTGTTTTATTGTTATGAGTTTGTGTGTTGCCTATGAATTTTATGTTGGACCTTGTTTAAATTATGGAATTAGGCTAAGTACGGCAGCAATTTTTAATTTATATGCTTTACACTCAGGGAGAACCGCTAGAACCACCTCAACTTTCACCGATGATAGAGGGTGATGAATTGGCAGAATTTGATGAAGAATCAATTGGTGCCGGATTAGTTGAGTCTCAGAGACAAACAGTTGAAGATAGGGTAATGATTTGAAAGTTTTCATAAATCCAAATTCTTTCGTAATGGATGTGTAATTTTTACAAACTCTTTTTCCATTTTCTGATATTTTTCAAAGGAAAATAAAGTATAGTTTTTCAGAAAAAAAGAATGGAACGAATTTTATCAGCTGTTTTACTTCTTCTTGATGAACTTGATGGGGAGAACTTGCTAACGGTTATTGAAGAGGCACAGTTTCGTGTTGCAGAATTACCTAGAAGGTCATTATTGAGGTGATAATTTAGTGGTAAAATCAGTGATAGTGATGTATAGTATACTTTTGATTTCATCCGAAACGAACTGATTACACATGATGTAGTTTGCTTGGGCCGTGGCATCAGCAATTTTATGCGATTGTAGTCATCTTCAGCTTTCGTAAAAAATGATTAGGATTAATTGAATTACTTTGCCCTCGACATTTTTCTTTTGTATTTCATAGTTTTTAATTCAGGAGTTATGTTATCTCAATGTTGTAGCTTTATTTTAATGCATTTTTTCCACCTTGTTTAAAAAATCAAGTGATAATAAAGGTAGGAATAAGATGATGAAACAAAGCAACCCACCACTTCATGCAGTCATGGGATATTTCTCAATTTTTATTAAGAAATGTTGCAAAATCATGTTTTGTTAGGACTGCGTATATGACGAAGCTGGAGCATCCTTCATTTATATAGCTGATACATACCAGATTTATAGCACTGAGGCGTATTCATGGAACTCTGATCTGTTTTTTTATCAGTGCAAGGCTTTTTGGCAGCAATAATCCTAGAGTTATGGTACTTCACTATTCGTGATGTTCATAAAAACACTTATTTCATCAATTATTCTTTTTGGAGAGCTTCGTCCATTCGGTAAATCAAAAGAAGTGGAAGGTTGATCAGCTAAGTCGTCTACTGCAGCAACTAATCCATGTTGAGGGAATAATAAATGTTGGAAG